GGTTTTAGGACTTATAAATTGCAGAATAGACAAGCAGATAGATACATATCACAGTACGACAACACGCCATTACAGTCGCGGGCAAAGTTACTAGCTTTCGACCACCAAAGTACGTATCAGGAGACTAAAATAGACAGCGACAAAAAGGAGACGGAGGCTTTCTCCCTTCACGGATGACTAAAAGGAAAAGAGAGAGTTTATTAATCCCATCGACTCCGATTAAAGTCTACAATTAGGCTGTACATCATTAGAGATATTACAACTCGTTTCAAAATATCAACTTTACAAACCATATCCTAGAGGATAGTTGAATTCATCATAGCAAGACTGCTACTACGATTGACGCTTCGATCCAAACGATGAATTAATATCAAATCATAATCACACCGTTACAACTTATAATAAGTTGGCTAGGATATCTATTGATAACTAACGAATATCACTGTTTTTTATCTTTTCAGTTTCAGCAACAGTTTTGTGAAGTATAACTATAGACCGTTTCGATTTGTTTGAAATATGCAAGTGTTGCGAGCGTCTACCGTCGTCCTTCCATTCTCTTATCGCCTTTCTGGAGGTTAGATTATTTTCGACCATCAAACAAATCCTTTTATGATCTTCATCTGTTAGCAGTAATATTTACTTTTTACTTCTGTTATATTATCTTATGCTATTCCGTAGTATACCAATACTATTTACAGTGTTAACACTATGTATCATATCAAATTATACGAAATTTCATTGCACGTAGGCCACATCTAACGTACGGTAAACAGTACAGTAGTTGGTCATTGATATTACGCTATCTTTATTTTCTTATTACAAGATCATTATGTTAGTATGTTTCTTCTACGTACGGTTAGTTATTTTACCATAATAATTAAAAGAATGATACGCATCATAGTTTATTTCTTACAATTGAATAATGTAATGATGACCAATAAGAATATCACTTAAAGTTCAAATCAATCGATTAATCAATTAATTACTAGTACAGTATATTCAGGCTCGTTTTACTTCACGTACTATACCATTTATTAACAATAATACTAGAAATATCCCAACAAGCTTTTCGATGCTCACCCTCAATAACACATAGAATGATGCTCAATTTGCAGGCAAAATCAACAGGCTCACGCCATCGATATGGAGTGCTTACGGTCTTCGGTCTGCAGCCACCTCCGCTGAGTATCCCGGCTCATTGTCTGGCGTCAACTTTTTCTTTGATCAAAATCGCAAGGCCAATGTACCCAATACTGGCCATCTTGCTGGTGCCTTAAGTTCTCGTTTTATGAATGAGACTTTTGGACTATTTAAAGATGGTACCAAACCTCTCTTAAAATCAGTGAAAATGACGATTGATCCCAATTTTTATAATTTTCACTATGGTTTACTTGGTAACGCAATGGTTAAGCTGACAAATTTCAACAAGAATGCCTTCAAGACCTTATGTGAAATGACTCTTGGCGATGATAAAAGCTTGCTATGTAAAGTTGAAGCCACGACTGAAGTTACTCAAGATCATAAACTGCACGCAATATCGGATGATGTAACAGAGGAATTGCGTAGCTCTCAAATTCGTGATGACCTTAAACATAGCTTGATAAATCTAGAAAAATTAGGTTTGCCATCCGAACCATGCATGATATCATCCGTGGAGGTACGACCTAGCGACTTGGATGAAAATCGAAACGTAAATTGGGCTCAGATGTTAAGTTACTGCCAACACGGCATTCGCAGCGCTATGTTGTCAAAAAAATTTCAGGTGGCTACACGAATGAGTTCTTTAGCTCAAATTAAAGAGTTACACCTAGATGTTACCGGAAAAGTTTCTGTTGGCGATACCGTTGATGTTTCTGTTTATGAGAATGCAGAACTTAATCGTATTCTATGTATTGGTAAATGTGGAGAAGAGATTGTGTGCAAAGGATATCTAGACTTAGATCGCGAAATTGCTGGCGAATTGCCACAATGGCAATTACCGATGCACACAGAATCAGATATTCGTGTCTATACTGACATTCCCTCAGTGGGCTTCCATCGCGATCGCTTTAACAATGTAATTCTTCAGTATGTAAAGGAGGCAATTTCCAATTCACGATTAAACTGTTATCTTGCTCAAGGCTACTTGAAAGGTCATCTTCTTGAAAATGCTATACAAATTATCTTTACTCATCGGGTAAAAATCGACCCCGAATTATTCAAAATCGGCCAATTTCAAGATCTTAAGCATGATTTGAAGCTACTCAGTTTAGGCAAGTCATCCTTTATTGTCAATACAGATCTCCAACTACATGATAAAGTATTAATATCCGTTGCAAGTAACATCGTTAACTTTAGTATGAAAGATGGTAAAGGTGTTCCGTTTACTGATTGGCATCAGAAAACATTTTCAGAGTATCGCAACAAACTCGAACCACATGAGGTTAGGATGTTATCAGTCTTTTAATAAATAGTTAATATTTATAATTAACAATATTATGATACTTGCAAGTAGTGTTCTCAGTTAGAAGAATTAAGTAGACATAAGATGCTCGTCGTTTTTTATATGAATAATAAATGCGGGTGAACGAACTTGTTAAAATTAGGTATACTATACTAATTATTATCTTTTCATTTTATCTTATCGCTTTACAAATAGGTTGATGTGCCATCAAAAATACCTAAAGATGCATATAAACACACCTTTTATTCACGCTATGACGATTTAGATCACCACCATATAATTACGAACACTCGCTATATAACTTTCTGCTTTGATACAGCGGCAAATGCAATTTATAAGCGTTCACCAGCTTATCATACCGGGTTTACCTATGATTTCAACCCAAATTGTGTTAGAGAATTTGACATTTGTTACGTAAATCAATGTCGAGAAAACCAACAACTTGAAGTAACTACATTCCAAAATCATGAAGATCCACAAAAGCTTCACTTCTTGTTGACGAAAGGCGATAAGACTGTATGTTATTGCAACATGACAATCGATTTAAATTCATCGACGGTATAACTGTATCTAACCCTAGCGTGCGAGTGTTAGTCTTTGCAATGTTCGTGTCATTAAGCTGTCAATATATCTAGATATGCGCATTTTAGTAAAATATTTAGAAAGTTAAATTACAGTCGTGACTGAATTCATACCAAAAATTAATTATATGCTAATCTTTGTACATCATATACTCGCACTATGGTAGAAAATATATACAGAGATACGTAGGTGTTTACTGTGACGCCTTTCAAACATGAGTACAGTATCGTAGAATATCAATATCATCTAATCATTGTCAACTGTACCATAAGCTATTATACTTATAGTATTCTATTGATATTGTATTTTTAAAAATTGGGTATTTAACTCAGATAAGCATTCATCGATAATTAGTAGCGACAGACCTGGTAAGCAATATAATGCTTTAAGGAACGTATATACACGTTAGTTTCCAATTTATATTAAAAATTTTTACCAGCATTTTATTACTTAGAGCTACAGTAGTAATGATATCGTTACTATAGTCTCTTCTTTTATAGTACCAATTCTAATGCCTCTAAAATTTTAGTTGAAATGCCTTTTATTTTAAATACGCATATTCAATAATAATAGTATCAGTACTGTTTTGGTTTCTATTTCTATAATAAACAATTTAAAGTAGGTAAACTTTAATAAATTTAAACATAATTCTATACTGTTAAATTATTTAAAATTTTCGTAAACCTAAAGAAGCATTATTTGGGCGACTACGTAGGTGCAATGTGTATAGATGTATATCAATATAATATCATAGATTATATAGTATACGACTAACAAATAGAAATAAGTCGTAATATGATATAATATTGTGCAGTTACATACGACAACTTACGTATATCTACCCATAGTGTCTACCAATTGAAGGTTATTAGTTCTATTCCTGTCTCTACACACATATCAATACAAGATGGAAATTGTTGCATAGACTTATGTGATGTAACATTGAAAATTAGTTGCTTGTGTGGTATTCTCGGATACTAAATTATCAGGTTGTATAGGACTATCAATGATTTAGTTATTACGTGGGCGGTGGGCCATGTTTCTCTGATAAATTACCGGTATATTATATATTCATACATCACATACGTATAACATAGTTTTAGCCGCAACATGCGCGTATATATGTACGCTTATGTTATTTAATTTAACAAACTTTTCACTAATAACTAATTATCAAATAAGAATTACTTGATCCAAAATGAACCTATGCATGTATGATATACGTATTTAGTCATAGAGCCCCTACAAAGTTAATTTATCTCTTATCTTAGTCGTGATAGGTTTACAAGATTTTGTATTGTATCTTGATAGCAAGATGGTATAAAGAAGTCAAGGGATCGACAAATAATTGTACTAAGACTAGATTTTCACTTTAAGCTGCAAAAGTCCATACCTTGTCCAGTGTTAGGCATAAATCAGCTTGAATTACAACGAGAAACGTAATGAAACAATTCTACTTCATCATTCGATTGTCACTGGGTCAAGAATTCGTACTTACATAAACATAAGCCTTTACGACTACAGGAGTAAAGTCTTGGCAGCTCTTTTATTTGTTTGTTTGTGCTAGGTACAATATACTGTAGTATCTTACAACATATGCATGCCATCCATCGTCAGCAAATATCAATTCAACGTAGTGGAAAAAACATCAATAAACAGCCTAATACTTACTTTGAACGAAGTTCTATCGAAATAATAAAAACTACATATTGGCATGCATGCATTGCTGCCGATCATTTACATGTTACATAGCAATAGATTTTGATGACCATACAGTATAAGCAGAATTCGTTAAGCTGCAACTACAAAACTAATTCAGTTCCAGATTACAAGTTTTTGTAATATATGTTAGGATAACTCATAACAAGCTAGAAGTATAATGTAAATCGGAATACTATAGTAATCCGACTTTTTACTCTTCGATATTGAAATATTACTAATAAAATGATACATTAGAAAGTAGTTAAGTAAAAAACTAGCTAGTAATGGCAATGGTAAAGGTGAATGGTACAATTGATATCAATGCAATTCCTGCTCTAGGTAACTCATAACAAGTAATTTCGTCGTATTCACACGTTGAGCGCTTTTTTACATCATTTCCAACTAATGAAACAAAGATACATTTTAGAAAAATTCACGAATGTAGGCGACAATTATGTTGTAGATTAATTAACTATTGGCCTTAAAGAGAACACTTAGGCATTATGGTATCGAAATTTCACCTACCAAATCATCAGCATCCTCTTCAGTAGTCTCCTTAGTGTTATCTTCAACCTTAGTGTCAGTGCTTTTAAGGAACTATTTTAAAATTGAAAGCCAATCGGTAATTATGATTACAACTCAGAACCATAAACAAATTAGTCACTCCAGTAACTTCTGTAAATAGTAACTCCAAGGCATAAAGATGGAATATGATTAAATTTAGAACTATGGTGAATAAGTTACAGTATAGTACAAGTAAATATGTGAAAATACCGATTTTGCATCAGCAACAGTTACGTCACTTTCGGAAGACTCCTGAACGCTAATCAACGTAATTTCTCCTATAATTTAAAAATCATTGTATAGCGAAACGTTATCGTATGTTTTAATGTAAGCAATAGCCAATTCATAGTCATCTCTTTACGACATGTAAGTTCTGTAATAACTATAGTAAATACAGCCGGTCACAACCTTCAACGACAAGCAACCAGAAATCTCTTCCAAATGCGTTAGAAAGTTTATCTTTCATATCTTGTAAAAACTGGTTAAATACAGCAGGCTCGCCAAGCTAAATAGCAGTAATAGAATCCAATAGTTATCAATTATATAAACACATACAGTATGCAAGGCAATATTAGAATTTATTACTTACCCTAACACATTCTTCTCTTAAAGCTTTTAAACAATCCATAGCTTTAGGGAACAACTGCGAACCAATTGAATCCATCACAAGCTGCCAGATGCGACTTTTCATTTGTTTGCAGGCTAAAGTGTTCATTGGGTACCAATTCTTAATATAGCATTTAAAGACCCTAAATATCAAAATTAATACCGGTCGATAATCTGTACCTTCTTCGAATCGATCTTCATCTTTCTGATTTATCATGGCCTTAAAATCTTGCACTGGTTGAACGGTACCGACCTTAAAATACGAAATTAGTATTGAGGTTAGTATATCAGCTTTTAGTTTGCATTCTTATAAGGATGATACACTTACTTCCGTCACATTTTCTTTTGATAAACTTGAAATACTAAAGTCAACATCTGCAGTACTATTGGAATCCTTAGCACGTTTAGAAGACGTATCGAGTTCCAATGCGAGGTCAATACTGAAATTGACAAATACTAACTAAATTGAACGTCATGTAATATATTCAATACAGCAAGTGTGTTATCTGACAGCACGATCTTAAACATATGCATCTTGCATCTGGCAACTTACTTATCTTTAAATATACTAGCCGCCGTTCCATCGTCGCGTTTTTTTTTCTTCTGTACGTGAACTATACCAAAGGAATCCTAAATATATGGAGTGATTTAGTACTACAGAATTCCAGAGAAAGGATGAATGAATAGCGAAACGATACGAACTTTTATTTTCTGAAAATGAGAAGCGCAGGTTGCCGTTACATCTTGACTAGGAGATAAATACCTGTCAAATTGTATATTAAGAAGCAACAATTAAGATAAAGAAACCCCGATGTTTTAAGATGAAATTTTATATTGTGGTTGAAATAATCTTAATTAGTACCTCGTTATAACTGGATCAGGTCGAGGAAGCGCATCATCAGGATTGAGGGCGCGGTGTTGTATACACTTTCAGATAATAAACAAATAGGCATAAAATTTAAGGATGCTACTTTAAACGGTACGGTCATAGTTTAGTGCAAAATAACTTTATTTTCAAGAATAACTGCTTTAAAAATTGTATTATTTTATATGTACATACCTGATAAGAACGTTGTAGAACCGGATTGAAAGTCAACTTAGGCTTAAGGGCTTCGATAAGTTCTCCATCGTCATCACTAATGCGAAATCGATTTTAGTCAATTGATTTCAGTGCAACGATCGCTATCCTATAGATCTATTACAAATAATAGCAATGTAATGTAGTCTATACTGTACCGATAGGCTCGAGATAAATCCATGGAAGTTACTAAATCATCAACAAGGTCCAACTGATCATCTGGTAAAAAGTAGACGAGAAGTCATCTTCCGCATAGAGAACATCACGTAAATGAGAGATAGATCGTAAATTTATATATTTGTGCATTAGTAATAAACATACCTGTAGGTACATTTTTCTTATTTGTGGTTAACGAAGCAAATGTATATTGGCGAATGTCTTCCATGAAAGGCAGTTGGATAAACAAGAGGCTCTGTTATAATTACAAGACTTTAATCTACAATTCTGTAACTGTATAAAGAAGTCAGCGAGTTGCAGTTGCTGTATGGAAATAGAATATATCTCAATTTAGCTTTTCTGATTACCCGATAAGTTGCCTTTATTTGGGGAAATAAAATTCCAAGTTTCGGCTGAGAATTATTACGATAGACGTAGCGCACAACAGCTACTTTATCAGTTTCATATAGAGCTTGAACCAAGGCCGAAAATGCAACACCAGCAGGCTAAAAATTTAAGCATGAATGACACATTTTAACACAAATCATACGACCAGATATGAAAAAAGATGAACATACTTCATCGTTTGGTGCAGGCATAAAAACTACTACACCATCTCCCATTAACCAATGTCTTTTTACCTGCGGAATACAAAAAATTGTTCAACACTTTCAACTGTAGATGAAAAGATTAACAATGACAAGGAATTCAAGTGTATGGGTACATAGTCACACACACATTTTCAGATTTTGTAAATCCAAGTACTGATAAGCATTTAGCAGCCTTTAGCTTCATACTTTCTTCGTCAATTTTGAGCCATGGAACAATGGTTTTACCATATTTATAGCCTATAGTGTTATATAACAAATTAATTGTTAATAAGAACATTCAGAGTTATTACTTTGAAAATGTCTTACCTTATTTAATCTTAACATTTACTACAATATAACTAACCTTTAGCTAAATTTTCTCTTTCAATTTCCGTCTCATCTTCATCATTTAAGTGATATGATCTTTCAATTTTTACCTTCATATCACCGGGTTGATTTGACGCCTCGGATATTGCTGATAGTTTCTTCCACGATTCTGGTTTAGATTCTCGTACCTTTTCATAATTACAGAAAAACAGAAAATGACTAGTACAGTTCATGTACTTTAATGATATGATTGTGAATCAGAGTACTGTATTCAGGTGTTAGATGTGATAATACCTTTATATAAGCGTAGGTATTAATTTTAAGTTTCGATCCAATTTCTAGAGGCCCTCGGAAAACAGTGGTCATTTTTATTGACCGCTTTTGAAAAAAGCTAAGGGTCGACAACGCACTCCTATATAATATATATCGGAAACAAAGGTTAGCCAATAGCTCGCACAATTGATAGGACAGCCAATAGCTACGAGCAGTTTTTAATTGATAGTTATCTACCATATAAACTGACCTTAATGAATGAGAATCTCCATCAACTATTTCTAATATCTTTTTCAGTGTTGATTCGCCGGCAATCTAAAACCATAATATTGATTATTTTAAGATAAGTTTATGCTGCAATGTTATAAAGAGCACATAGTCCATTGTAATACTTACAGTATATCATTGGTAATTTATGTTATTACCATTAATTCTAAGTTACCTGCTGAGGAGTTTTTTCTTTCCCATGAAAGGTAAGATGTTTCTTTTGAGATTTAGAACTCTGTGCACCGTCGTTATTAGTATAATTCTGGCTATCATCATTATCATCACCGTCGTCATCTTCATTTTCGTTGTCGTCGTCAATATCAGGGCCTCTGAATACAATATAGCAAATACAGTAATTTAGAGAAAATAATTTTATATTTTGATATTAAAGTCCATTTTTCATGATACGACTTTAATAAATTTATACATATCTCTCACATTACGGTCAACTGTATGCCTAAAGTCTTCAAACCCTCGGTAATTGCTTCTACTTGGTCATCAGCAAATGGGGAACCGAGGTCAGAAAAGAGGATTATTCGCTTGTCTCCAAACTTCTTCCCACTGTATTTAAAAAAAGTAACTTACTCATTTTAATATATCGTCATATAACATGTAGCATAGACAAGAAAATATGTAATGATGGAATATAGTAAATTACAATATTGAAAGAGACAGATAGTCAACTCCTATTTCAATTCGGAGATTGTAGCTCATCAGCATCATTACCTATGTACTTATCATTTACGATAAAGTAAAGTGCTATTGTACCTGGTTGACTTTTTAAGTAAATCCATAGCAACTATTATGGAATCCAGGACTATAAATAAGCGAATAAGGTTAAGAAAAGTTGCACAAGTACAGCAGGACCACCAACAACGTAATGACTGCAATGGACATTATCAAATATCCTCGTGTTTATTAGACAATCGTGTCCATATTTATTCTTAGTATGCCTAATACTGTTACATTCATTTTTAATCTAAACTTTACAGATGCTAACTGTTGCAAATATGTCATGCGTTTGTGGGATACAATCTGCGTCTTCATCTCCTATAAATATAATAAAACATGTATATCTAGTTTGAATATTACCGTAATAATAAATTTTGTACCATTACTAGTAACTTCGTGATTTGATAAATATTGAAATAGAATGGCTTCTATTCTTACCTGGTGCTATGTTGGTTTGAATGTATCGTAGAAAATTTAAATCAGGTGGTCCAAGTGGTCTAACCACACTAATATTTTCATATTGACCATCTTCATATAGATCATTATCACTCTCTAAGCAATACACGAAAATGTCGATTACACTAAGGGCATTTTTAGTAGAACAGGCAGTATAATTGTCAATTCTCTTTCTAGCTACGACAGAAAATCGTAATTAAATAGAACACAATATGAATGCAAAAATAGATGTAGATTAGTTTTCATTTTCTTTCAAGGCGACTGTAGTATAATCAGTACAGTATTGTAGAATTTTAATTTGTATCTAATACTCTATTGCAATACAAGTTGTGCTTTCCAAAGTTTTATACAGTAATAGTAATCTCGTCGATTAGCTCTATCGATAAAATCGCCATACATGCAATTTGCAAGAACTCCATTAGCTACCAATTAGTATTATCTCAATCTAAGCATATAGGTAAGACAGTGCATGAGTACTTTGTATCTTATTCATCAAGAGTAAGATAGAAAATAGAGTATGTCACTGGCATCCATTATGTGGGAAGAGACCGGTCGGAATTACATTGCTGTATTGCTTACCTTGGGTTCCAAATAAGACTAAAGCAAATTCATCCTTATTAGCTAAATGACCTTGAGAGAACATCTAAAAATAGAGTAATAAGAGTTGATTTAGTTTCTATTGCATTCTACCAATACCATTTTTAAATGTATACCTTTCGAGATACGATCATATTAATCGCATTGACAGAAGTTTCCAATTTGCTAGCATGGCCTTGAGGTGCATAGCACATAGAAGGGCTTACATCCAGGCAGATAGCAATAGCTTCCTGATGATGATTGATAAGTGTAGAAAAACAACATTCCATTATACAAAGAACAACTATCCAAAACTGTACAAAGATGTAAGATAAAATTATTATTAGAATCCCTACTTATAAGCCTTCTTAAGCTTAATTACATTAATATCTTGCTAACATTATTAGCAATTTCGAGCAAAATTGAGACCAGATCCGCTGGTCGCAATCACTCCTTCTCGATCTCGTCAATCCTCTAAGCCATCGTGTGTATTGCGATTATAACTGTAAACTACAGAATCAACAATTGATTTATTATGCTTAAAATCGTGCTATTACCTTTGAATATGCCATTTTTCAATCCTTTTAGAGCCAATATGACAAATAAACCGATCAAGAACCAAGATGTGGACAGCAACCTTTGCAGCAAGAATGTGCAATCGATGCTACTGAGCTGTGCAAGCAGAGTACTAATACCTGTAAACTAAGCCTACACTGGTCTATCCCATGATATGTATTCTGTGTAGCAAAACACTGGTAAAAGCCTATACTGTGTGCTATGCTGGCGGTTGGCTTGGAAATTCTACTAGGTTAGTCATCATGTCATTGTTGGACCTCCCACATCTGGGCCGGGCAAGTGTTGACATGCCCTATGGTCAGAAAAGTTGCCTGGGCAAACTGAACCTTTTGAAAGCTAGGCCTATAGCAAATAGTGAAAATTGGACTCTGGTTTTAAGCAGTCTATTGACATGCGCTACTTTACAGTAGCATGTACACTAATACTGTACTGTACAGAACAATGTGCTAGTGTACATGCTACTGTAGAGGAACGGAAAAAGCAAAGATGTTGGAATGTCACTTTTTCTTATACTGGATGTAGCTCAAAAAGACACTGATTTTATTACTTTATTTTATGGCAATCTTAATTTCCTTTCTAATACATGTATGATAACTTACGATCCTTCATTTCACTAGACGTCCTGTGCGTTGCAATATTACTTCACTTACATTCTTGATCTCCATCCAGTGCTAACTAATACATACTGTACTGTATACAGTACAGGATAAAGTCTCAGGCGCTTACTCTCTTATTTCCATGGCAACCTCAAATGGAGGTTATGCTGTATGCCATTCACCTCATATCGTATAATAACTGAAGTAAATTATATATTCAAACTCAATATATAATAACAACAAACTTCGCTCCCCATCGTTAGTGCTCATTGCCAAAGCGTTACTTCGTATCAAAAACAAACAAAAATTGCTTATGGGAAACAATTTCTGATCTTTGGATTAGTTTGAACGCTAGGCGCAGTCACCAATACTTTTATACGATAGTCCTTGGACAGTGCTACACGCTATCGATCTATACTTTTACTTCCACGGCATGTGGGGCTACTCAAGTACAGAACAGTTAGATAGTATCGACGATTGCCAAATGAATCTTTAACCTACAGTCGAGATTTGCTGAACGAAATTTTGAGTACTTCAATACGAATGGCGAGCTACCGAACTGTACAGTACTGTACAGTGTACAGCTCCTACAGAAGTAAAAATTACTGTCCGGCATTAAACTGTCGGCTGTGACGTCATGCGAATCCCATAACTAAAGCAATTAACGTTATAAGAAAATATATAAATACAATCGACCCTTTATACTTTTGTCGGTGCTTAGCTATTGCGTTACTTCGTTCATGTGAATTATTTACTCTGGCAAATAGTGACTTCCCGAATCCGTTGATACGTACTCTTCGGTACTTCTAATCAACTGGAACCGGATAAACGCACTGCGCCGTCACCGATGGCTTTTTTGACTCTATTTGGATTCTCATGATTGTAATAAATGGAGTCAAACTATAGATGATTATATTTTTTACACGTAGGCAGGGGATATTTCTATAACGAGACTAACCAATCTAAGGTATGCGTTGGTGATCAGTAGTTGCAAGCATGTTCCTGTTTTATATCGAATGAATAAACTGATAGCCAGTTTTTGATCCTATAGAGTATATATTTCTATATTTATCAAGCAATTACTGCAGTATATTCTGCAAAAATCTAATTGTAAAGAAGCTCATTTACAATGCACGAATAGAGCTTCCTCCATAGAGTTAGTATTACATTAATTATAATTAGTACTTCCAAGTCGTGAAAATAGTAAACTTGATATTAAAATTATTTATTAGATATGAGTATGTTTAACCACAACGACCTTACGCGATATTTCATCTAATACAAAACAGAAGGATTACAATACATGCTATCGTAATTTTTAACTATTAGGTTATATAGTTGCTAACAGTATTTAACCGCTTAATCCTGAACGATATCAAATTATATATATGCGTATTCTACCATATTCATGAGGTAAAGTTATACAAACGCTTTCAATTCTCCCGATAGTAAGTCATAGTAATTCTACTACATTTACTATTCATACCAATAAAACACGTATACAGAGTTCACTGGAAGATATGGAATATATTTATACTGGTATAAACAGATACATGCATTTATCATTGTTAGATTAAATTTCACTTATGACTTATAAGAACGACTTAATAAGTAAAAAATTTAAGAAAGACATGTTTAAAGTACTATTGTATTATTGATATTAACGGTCCATATACAACAGATGCAATAGATGCAACGGGTGCAATCATTCAATACAAGTATAAGAAAAACTATACTTGAATTATTCTCTTTATTAAGATTATTATTATAAGTGGATAATGACAGGATAAAAAACGTAAACGAGAGCGTAAATACTTCCATGCTCAATCAATAGATTATAACTATTAACTCATCAAATTGTATAGAAATACCACAATTAGGCTAATGCAAAAGGCTAACAGTATCGCTAGTACTTAAACGTAAATGTGCTATTTGTATCTAAGATATCGAGTTACATCGAGATATTTTGTTGTACGATGTAATCCATACGAGTATGATCACTAAGATCAAGCCTTTAGCTGAGTGACCAAAGATAACAGATAACTTGAGATCTATCTTAAATATTATCCGAAGATAATTCAGCGACATAAACTCTTTATAACTTGCTTGTAAGCAGGTTCCGAAGGTATTTATCATATGATGAATGTACCTACAATACAAATAACAATTAAATCAAATCAATTATAATAACTGTTTAATTAATAGCGATGAAAGTTTTTCTTCCATGTTTTTTCCTAAGCTAAATAAACGAACACACAATCTATGACTACTACTAATAGATAACGAACTTGAGTTTTATTCAAAGGCGCCTCTTTTGCCCATTCGAATAGTTTGTTATAAACGTCGCCATCATATCTACCGAGAACAGATAGTAGCGTCTGATCCGGTATATCGAATGCGTCAACTAAACAAACTGCGACCGGTCGAATTTCACTAAATAATTCTAATATTTTTACTCGAATGAGTTTGATTTGTTCAAAATCGATGAAGTTGTCCTGATAAAATACATGTTATAATTTCAATTAGTGCTCGCTTAGTTTTAACTTGCGACGATTAATAAAGTACAATGATACGATCTTTATCGCCAACGATAATTATGTATATTATGTTTGTGTTAATAGTAAATTTATTCAGAATACTTACGAGCATAAAATCGCCAGTATTTTGATCTATGCCATGTAAAGCTAGCAGAATAGATAGTCTATGTAACTGTAGATGACAAGATTGTCCCAAGCGCGATTTCTCAATCATATTAAAAAATGTCTTTATTACGAAATAGTGAGTAAATGCCTGTAGAACGAGCAGAAAATAGTATAGACTTAGTATTTAAAAATAGTGAAGAAAAAACTTAAAGCCGAGATTAACTAAAATATTTTAAACAGTTGTAAGTACCTTTGCGCAATCCACTAATTTAATTCCAGATTTATTCCAAGCATCGTAACTAGTATCGCCACCAGATTGTAATTCGCGAAGGTATTTATCAGCAATAGCTACTTTTCTGTCAAAGATTGCAGAGTTAATGATATAATAGAGCTAGTTACGGTATTTGTGTCGATTACTTACTTATATGCTCTAGCTCTATAAGCTTCTAGTACTGTATTCGTCTTCTCTAGATCTTGCATATTCTTAATATCCCAATGTTTACATGGTGGATTATGTAAGACTGCTGATACACCTAAAGGTGCAGACTTTGGATTCTTGACACAACGAAGTAAATATCTAAAAAATTGTTAATTTAATGTATTCTCTTACTTTTATAAATGTCTTTCTTAGTCTATTTAATTTACAAACTTACTTAGCTGACTGAAGGTACATAACAGTGTTTTCGCCTTCGTATGTGCAAGACGCTAACCAATTATTATAAATATGACCTATACCGCAGGCCGATGAATAACCATGCCCGCCGCAAGCTCGTCTACACTCCTAAATGTAGTAGTACGAAATAGCGAGATTCGTAAATAAGAATTAGAATTGGGCTACTCGAAGTTATACATATAGCGTTTGTTCTTTTACTATACCTCAATACCAGATACACTCATCTCTGTACAAAAGGCTTTTAAACCAGAACTAATTCCATGGAACTAGTATAAAAACAAAATCGTTATTACTTTGTTCATTTATGTAGGTATTATTTAACATTTCTATATATCCTATGAAATCAGAAATTTGTCTAACCTCGGCTAGGACACTTAGATCTTCCAGTTTTATCCGTTCAGTAGCTCTTTTACCGAAATCTATCATGTAATGACCAGTGCATGCAAGAGCATAAGCGCCAGCGATATGAGGGAATAGTTTGTTTTGTTGAGTTACATAATCTAAGACTTTAGGTTCGTAACTAAAACAGATTTATATAATAATCTTAGTATATCGTTAATGGTATCTATCCTATGTCATAAAAGAGTATGAAAATAAGTACGGCACCCAGGTTTTGTTTCAGTCTGACGGCGTATTGCACTGTAGCGAACGGCAATCGTAGATGCTCGTGCTAAATAGTTAGAGCATAACATCAATAATTGACATCTATATAAAGTGATAGCTACGTAAGTTAGTCTGGGATTTTTAGGAGGGATAAAGCTTCCGTCAAGTGTAACCTACAATACAACAATATATAAAATATTTACATAAATCATAACGCGGGTCGAGTTACCTTCGTATACAGATTACTGTATATCTTTACTTACCTTTGAATGCCTCATCAACATTTGATCGCGAGGTATTCTTACATTACTCAATTGCATGAAGCCATCATCAATGCTGTTATACCCAAATTTATCGCCCATTTCTCCTAGGGTAATTCCAGGTAGAGGAGTATGATCTTCTAGACTACGAACCTGGAGAATGAATAAGTGTGGGCCATAACACTTATTCTGAGTCCACAATTGAGCCATCACAAGCGCATGAGTGGCAGTTTTAGCCACTAAACAAAACATGAATACGTAAATAAGGGACCTAATATTGTTACTTGCGTCATATAAATTTAACTTAGTGATTGCGTTCTCTTCGTTAAAATTGGGCAGGGATAAGATAATGGTATTGATTACTTACCTTCGCCAATCCACCATTTTGTAGCCGTTAAAGTAGGAGTATTTAAGATAAATTCTCTAGTTTTCGGGTCATATGTAGCAGTTGTTTCAAATCCTCGAATAAAGGTACCTAATTCCAATACAAGTAAAATACGAATATCCATTTAGCGTTAAGAATAAGAATAAATTGCTTCAATTAATCACGAAACAAGTAAATAAATAAGAGCAACTGTATTATTTTAATGTAGGATATCAGATGTTGAAATACGATTGTATAGTATATTTAATAGTTGATTACCGTGACCAAGTTCGGTTTGGCAATAGGTTGCGACGATTTCAAAATTTTCAACTAACGGTAACCATTTCTTTCGTTGTTCAGGTGTACCTTGATCCTGCGTTGATATTTTTACGAGGAAAATTACTTACTGAGAACTATCATGTTAGCTATTCTATTTTATATTCTAGAATGTGCTAATGCATTAGATTTACACAAAACAAATTCGACATAGCGTAAAATAATACCGCACAGTGTATAGCACATGCATTACCAATGTACAGTATAGCACTAATAGCAGTATACTACAGTATAGTATATATCTAAAAAAATATAGTATAGTATATTGCCGATTTCAAGATCATGTTTAACGCGAACAGTAACAAACAGTGAATAGTATTCATTCGTGACTGTCAACGTGTCAACGTTGATTGTATTGGATAAGTAAAAACGTATACGAGTGTGTATTTATGAATATCTCAATAGAATACCTGCAAAGCAGATTTCCATGTAGTAAGATGCATTTCGAAACTTACAATCTCTCCTATTGTGCTAAAGAATAATATATAAAAGTATCGTGCCCGATTAGTAATATTATCCATTATTTAGTCTTAACCAACCAACGACTTTATCACGATACGGTAACCAACTTTTACTTGCAGGTATATAAAAAGCTAGTAAAATTTAGTCGACGTATATCCATACAGCAATTCAATTTTTATGATTACTGAGACTAAATTTTAAATTATAGGATTACCTGACAAGCCAGTAGTAATGCATGAAATCATCAACATTGAGTTTATGCTTTCTTAGAATTTTTGCAACTTCTGCTAAACATTGAACATTGCTGCTGTATGCCTCGTCTCGAGTCCAATAATGGCGTTCCAGCCATTTAAATGCGGGGTTGTTTAATATCAAAGAGGCTGTAATTATGTAGTTAGTATCGTTAGAAACGTTAATATACTAGTATGTACATTATGCTAGCATATACATTTACATTTGATAGATTCATGAATTGGCAAAGTGCAACATCGTGAATATACAGTACAGTATATTATTACAGACCACTGCTTGATATCGAAAATTTGTGCAGAAATTACTTTTGATTATTACTGCTGGTATCTGTATAGCAGTTTTACTATTACGTTCAGTTACGCCTTGGGATATTTCCGATATTATTACTGTACTATCATTTCCAGATTCAACAAATGACGATATTGACTAAGAGAGATTAATAATTCAAGGTAAAGTATGAAACGTATTATGGCATCATGAAATCGATATTGGAATTATTGGTTGATGATGCTCTCCTAAGTTGCGTGATCGATTTAATCCATTTTATTTTCAATACAGGTGGTGATTGGATACAATACGTAAAGAGCGCATAAAACCAGTGAACGAATTTGTTCTCTTGTGAGCTTTATCAAGAAAGTTTGCTATCATTGATCTACAATACTGCATTAGTTTAAATTTGTTCTCTTTTGAGCTTATCAAGCAAGCTTGCTATCGTTGATCTGCAATACTGCATTACTTTGAATTTGTTCTCTTTTGAGCTTATCAAGCAAGCTTGCTATCTTTTATCTGTAATACTCCATTACTTTCCGTGGAAGAAATTACAGTAGAAGCACTCTAGCAGAACTTTTCTGATTGTGAATAAGAGGTGTGAAAGAACGTTACCGTCCAAAGTATGAAAGCATGATGAATTGACGAAGTACAGTACAGTAACGTGGCTTGACTTACATATCAATTTGCGTTTTTTCGTTGCTTCCGACCCTCCATCATAAAATTCTGTCATATCATTGATAGAAAATGGTGGATTGGATCTTTCCTGGCGTAAATCTAAGACAGTTGTAGTATTTTTAGCCATTTTGGGGGGCTGTTTGATTTGGCGTCGATTGAAAAGGTGCAATCTCGATACGTTGTGTGCAACTTGTTTACGGTTTGATTTAGCTTGAATCGGGTATATTTGCAAGACGACGAGACAACAGTTAACATTTGTTCATTGTCCTGATCTCCACACCGATAAAAGAAAGTAGAAAAATTGTAAAGATCAGGCTAAGGAACAAATATTTCTTGTTGTCTTGATGCATAACCTGAGGCCCCGCCCGGAAATCCGGGAATCTCAATTCACAATGTTCAATATCATCCCAAAGCAATTTTCTTAGCCTAATTATTTCCTTGATTGTTTACGGGCGAATCAGGCCAATGAATGAAAAAACAAATCGTATTACTAAGGTGACCTTGTTGCTTAACCTCCTCCGACTTCACCTTTCATTTGGACCAACATGTATTCTTACAGTACATAGACACCTATATTGATCCGTATCCTGTTTTTAGTAGTCAATCCAATCCGTTGATGATGAGGTTATCAAGAGAAAGTTCTGGCCCAGAATAATTAATTTTTGTTAACGATCAGAGGTCAATTATTGACCATTTAATACTGGATGACGGCAATTGCCGACAGCAGTAGAATCTTTCGTATGGCGACATCATATCCCTGATGGACATTTCATGCATACTAGTATAGTCGTTATACCTTGGGGAATGTCCCAGATACAACTACGCATTTGTAGAACTTTGCACGGTTGAGATATTGTCATTCAAAGTTGCTGATGGGTCAATCCCATACCAAAAGCTTTTCAATGAAGTCAGAATTCATCAGCACCTAATACAATGCACCAAATTTGCTATGTACGTATTCAGCTCGGCGAAAGCTACCGAGTGGTACCGATTTCATGGAAGAACGCCATTTCTTCAAGAAAGAAGGAGAAATGGCCATTTTGTAGAACTTTGCATGCTTGAGATATTGTCATTCAAAGTTGCTGATGGGCAGTACTGTACAGTGTACAGTATACATGTCATACATTGTATTGTGTGTCCCTTGAGAGTTGTTATTGAATAATAGTGACGCCATACTGGACAGTAATAAGAATGACGTCATTACCCCCCCACTAAAGTACAGTACAGTATGTGAAATTGATTGATAATAATAATTAATTATAATGAATGAATTCATTAATTAATTAGTCCAGTACATGTACACTACTGGACGAAGATTTGTCTATTGGACGTCTGTCCGTAATTACACTACTGTACTGTGCACTACTACAGTAGAGAATGGGCGGGATTTGTGCGTCCAGTACTGTAAGCAATTTTCATTTACCACTGCAGCAATTTTAGACTATTGACAGATTTTACGTGAAAATGAGAACAAATTTATAGAAATAAAAGCTAAATTCACATCCCTCAGTTATTGGGCTACGTCTACATATAACATTTGATCTACTTTGGGCTTGATTGAGCCTACATAGTTTATTTTCCTTCGTGATACCCAAGTTAATCTCGCCCTTACAGTGTAACTGCACTACACTTCTACAGTACTGTACTGTAGCACATAGCACGCTCGAAAATCCCAAAGTCAAACCAGTTGAAAGACGTCGAGTAAATCGCAATAATAAATCGCCATCATCAACCAAATTCTAACTTGATGGTTAGCCTAATTGCAGTCAAGAATGGGTCGAACATTTCTTGTCCTTCGCTGCTTTAGCTGTCATACATTTCAAGTTCAACAAGTAAGGAGCTTTTTCAAATCAGTGTCTAGCAGTCTAGCCATCTCAAGCTCAGGTACTGTACTCGTATAGACAGAGTACAGTACAAGACTGTGCTAGAAAGTCAATAGGAGAGCGTATTTCATTCAGCTAAAAATATCTAAATCTATGTCTAATCATGCACGCCTTATAACCAAGATCATGCTATACTACAACTTCAATGGATATGAAATCCTTCTATTTCTATAGGAAGTAAAAGCTAAAAAATGGAGCTGTAAGGTTTGCGGATGGAAGCAATCATTTGTAAAGGTAACCAATTTAACTGAAGTACTTCAATCCAAATTGTCACTGTTATTGTCATAAACGTACTGTAGTCAGACTCGTTAATGCAAATGGAGTGTTGAAAATAGTTCTTCATGACTTTATAAGGTAATACCAGTTCAAGATAATGTTGTCAAAGATATGCGATCGAAAAGGACACTTGTTAGCAACATCCAACACAGTTATACTGTACATTACCAGACGAGATTGCCAAATAAACGTTGAATATTTAAAAATATCCTGTAGCATTTCACGACCCTCTATCTTAACTACTGATGAGTCACAAGCCATAATATTTTTATACATACTGTCAAGTTGACAGTGTCTACCTCCAAAATCGATTTCCTTGCGTAATTAAGGATAGCACAGTATATCAATTGACTTAGGCTCGCGTTTTTCCTATCTCAATATCCAACAGTAAAATACGGTGCTCGATGCTTTGCGGAAGTAAGCAACACCTTACAATTACAATTAAATACTACATATTCTTGATATCCATTATGAAATTTTTAAATTTTAGCTATATTATGATGAAAAGGGAAATACCGTAATTACTAGAAAGACCATAATAAAAATACTTAATTACTTCAAAATTAAATGGCATTGCATTCAGTATTATAAACATCAACATGATTATACATGCATATAACTATAGTTGTGTTTTTACTTTGCTCTTTATTGCAGATTTATGGTAATGGTAGCGCTGCTGACTGCAGAAATCACGTCCAAAAATTAAATATGATGAGGGGTGAAAGAGAAGCTGCTATACTCTCGTCAGTTTTTTTTATTTATTTACTATTTTAAATACATAATTAGAGCCTTAGCTCATTAGAGCTCATGTTGGTGTCACACATTAATTAGAAAACTGTCGGAACAGCATACTGAAAATGATTGTCGCAGTATACAGGAATCTCCGGAAGAGTATTCTGAATGCGATTATCGTACTATACAGGAATTTCAGTCAGCTTCCAATGCTGATGATGTACGTAGACTGAATTTTGTAAACTCATGTATAACGAGATTGAACCATTTAATACTACACTAGCTATTATTAATCGTACTAAATACACCTTTAGATACCACTACCACGAACTCATTGTATTTCATGGGATCAATTTATCAGTCACGATCAAGACAGATTTAAGATTTATACAATCGCATCGATCGAAATAGCAATTGATACAATATCATCATACGGTCGGTACTGTATATTATGACAAGATGGCGTCTACTCATAAAGTAGATCCAATAGCTAGCTTAACATTGCGCTAACATGCAATACGCATGTAACTAGGTTTGTTTATCAACATTTACAAAATTAACATCTTTCGATAATTGTCACGACAGTGCCAATCCATTTAATTTATTTTTTAGTCGTATTCTCTACTCGATACTCGATGGTGTAAGCTACTGTCTTTATCATATTAGGACGAAAATACTGCTCACGACAATGATACTATAGAAGGAATCGAAGTGACGACAGATCCACAAATCTTTCATAATGCCCGCAAAAAGAAAACAAAATCGACTAGCAAACAGTTACGTTATAAGTGATAGCTTGTACAACACGCTTTAAATTAAAGTAGGAATTTTTACCAACATAAAGAGATGCTATTTAACTTGTCCAAGCAGTAAATAGCTTAAATACTACAATACAGTATGATTATCTTGATGTGATGTAATTGTAAATACTTTTTATATTACATTGGCAGCTCTGTAGCTAAATAAATAAATAGTATTTCTAGGTGTAGATGAATTAACGATCGACGCGGCCATTAGCAAAAATTAACTTTAATAGATATTAGATAGACACCTATCAAGCATCTCAGGAGAAACTGACTAATTTAGGTTTGACCTATATTCAGGCCACTTCAGAATAAAAGATCGAAGTTTGATAATGACGACAATGATAGAGGTGGACATAACGAACTGGCCAATGTCGCTGCTAATAAAAGTAAAAAAGTTCAAGACCGTTCACTGCGAACGCAAACGCCCGGCAATGAGAATTCTGGACCAGGAAATCACGATATAACTAGTACAAAATGGGATATATTTTTATGATAGAAAGCAAGATTATCCTTATTTTATATTGATAATATAAATAGATAAAATCTACACTTCTAAACATTATTTATCACGCTGATTTACTGATATTAAATATTACTATTACCGTAATGACAATATATTGTCGAACTATAAAAAAAATCTTGATAAATAAGTCCTTTCGCTAATTTGATATATTGATTAATGTAAGCATTTATCAACGTGATATACAGCTTACATAAATTATGTATAGACTACCAATCCTGACATACTGTATAAAATAGGAATAAGTGAAATTCGTACGATTTCTTATAATTCCGTGCTAATAGTGAGTGAAATATTTCCTCCTTCACATAGATTATAAAGCTGGGTGTAATAAAGATTATTAAATCATTTAAATGTAATGAAACAATCCAAAATTTGAAAAAATTTTAGAATAGAATATGCATACTTTCATAGCAGACAGAGTATAGAATTAAATATACAGATTCTTTATCTTGTTTCTATTTTAATCTGCTTAAAGCCGAATGAATTCTAAAATGTAATCGATTTTCCAGGTCGTAGCCGCTATAATTGTCCTTGATATACGTTACAGTGACATGTTAGTATTGATATGGAAATTACGTTATTAAGAGATTCTAGAAGTAGATAAATATACCTTTGCTTGATTTAAAAGTGATTTTCCTTGACTGACACCCTAATTATCAAGTAAAATGGCAGATTTATTATCGTTATTACGTAATTTAACTACGTTTGATTCTTACTGTATAGCTTCAAAAAAGTATTTATTATTGTAGTATGTTACTCACTACAGTATTTGCTAGAATGCTTTTCATTCTCTTACTCGCATGTAGTATGCCACAATGTAGATACTGTGTTATGTAACAATTTTATATATATATATGTAGTGTATCTATAGTTGAACGAGGAGTTCAGTTGTTGCTATCCCCTCCAGCGGATGTTAGAACCCGGTTATCTCTCTTTTCCTATTCAGAATAAGTATACTCTTCTTCCATAATAATTTGTGTGCTACAGTATCGATGGACTCTCAACTACCACCTCCATCCACGGAGGTATCCACTTAAGTAAATGCCGATACATCAGGGTTAGTAAACCCGACGGCGATAATATCATAATTATAATGATTCGTACCTGTGCATGTTCGGTTAATAGTAATCCTAACTCGTAAGTAGCATATGGTGCAATATAGTTATCTTGCCGAGATTTCTTGGAGATACGAACTGCTTCTTTCAAATACTAAGGAGCATACAATTATTTAATAGGAATTAATTAAAACCTCGAGAGAAATAGCTGTTTGTAAATACCTTAAATCTATTAAAACTGCACAGACGCCTTATTAGTATGCTCTACTGTAAGTTTACAGTAATACTCGTATAAGTAGTACAATATTTGTACACTCGCATTGCACGTATATTTAAATCCCTAATGTATACGAGTAGTCTTAAAATTGGTTTACCTGCTCAGCCAGCTGAATATCTCGTAGTTGTAAATGTAAAATACCCAGCATAAATACTTGTAGAGAGGATATGTATGATTCTTGAGATCTTTCAGTTTCTAATAAATTATAGAGGAATGCTTGTTATGGGTATAAGTTATATATTGTGTAGTTCCAATAAGTCACTTTGTAAAATTAATATGCTGCCTCTTCCGCGTAGCATTACCAATTAAGAACTGTCTAAGCTGGTGATCACCACAAATCCTAATTGCTCCCCACAAATAGATGACTTCCAGGATCAACAGAACGTAATTATGAGGTTGTAAAATTACATCTTTATATTGATTAGCCTTCAAATAAGATAAGATAAGTATTAATACTATTTTCTCCATGTTTCTAAGACATTATGAATCATACATAATATCTATCTCCGATTATATAAATAGAAATAGATATATTTTTAAATAGCATTACTTTGCGAATAACAAATAGCTCAGGAGCGTTTCCTCGCTTTCTAGCTAACTGCAATACTAACTTTATCCATTCAGAAACTTGTTTCATACCAAAATATAGCACCTTTTCATCGTTGTATGCTTTTAATATGACGTATTTCTTCCTACATATGACATGATGCAAGCTAGATTTTAGCAATTCATTACATTATATAATTGCAAAAAGTATAACTCAAGAATTAGTGATACAATATCTCTACTTGTTATTCGTGATTGAATATTGGATTACAGTATTAAGCATAAGTAATTTTGATTCAAAGCAATCCAAAATTATGTAGCATTTTGGTTGTCGTCTTTGATCCTAGTGGATAGAACCTACAGTGTTTAGGACTTGAAATTGCTTTTCTATTGGGTGGCCTTTTGAGTTGGGATCATTTTGACTCTGAATCTCATCGAGTTTATCATCAGCATCTGCTGTTGGATTATTATCTTCCTTTGCTAAAGAAGAAGTCGATACATCATCATTGTTGCCATTCTCTGCTTGTACCCCTTGAAAGCATTCATCGCTAGCTCGACGTAAATGTTGAATAATAATATCAGAAGTAGCACTATCAGCTCTACTATGAATTGAAACTATCATTGATATTTGGAGCAGCAGCACGATCATTTTCATTCTGGTTCATGTCGTTGATAGAGTGTCATAGAAGGTCCAACATGCAGATCGTAGTACTGCATGTCTGCATACAGTCTAGTACGGTACATGTAGCCCCTGTAAAGCATAAAACTGACTTGTCCAAACCTGTTTTGGATTTTTCAAATGTTGCAGATCAAAATTGGAGCTGGAAAATAGCGTTTACAAAACTCTGCTGTATACTCTACATCCAGGAGGTTAACGGTCTCATTTGGACCAGCCTACAGCTCCGCCCATGCTGTGGGCGACTGCCAGGCGTATTGTATAGCGGTACCGTATTGAAACTGATCTCAGTCTTCTACGGGACCTCATTGGTTGGTGGAAGACCCAGGTGGAAAAGCTCAAGGTGGCTTGCAAGTTTGAAAATTGAAATTGCAAATCTCTTTTTATTTTCTCAAGTTTTCCTAAAGCTAACCGCTAACTTCTTTCAGGTTTGATGCTTGTAATAGTTGCTTTTTAATTCTTGTTCTGTATCCAATTTGTTTGACTTTGGGGGGAAACACTTGCAAGCTAGTGTAGTCAGTATCGCTCTTGTTGAAGAAAAATCGGCTGCTTGTCTGAAGACGCCAGCGCCGACCATAAATTCCATCATGATTGTAATATTGTAATGGAGAAGGGATTTGCGAATGGCTGCGACTGTTATCATTACCAGTAGAAAGAGGTAGATATCAGCGAGTATCAAGTTGTACTTGTCTTGTAACTTGCTATGCTTCCCCCAAGGTGTGCGATCACATGTCGTTATGGTGATTTTCATTTCTTGTCGTGGCAAATTTGCAAGGCTGATCCCATCGCCAAGATGCAATAGATCCTTTGAATATCATCTTCGATAGCATAGTACAGTAGTGTGAATGAAACCGTTCAATTTGAACGAATCCTCCTTGAATTTTTAAAATGTGCGATCGTAATTTATACTTTTGTAGACATGATTCAATGGCGATCACCATTGCAACCCCACCACTTCCTTTCATAACCAACACCAATCATCTGTTATACATTTGACATAGAGAAGAGCATATCGATCTTGTGGATAAAGTGTAGCTCTCCGTCATAGCATGATAGGTGACTTTCTACTTAGCGACTAGGATATTTTTCAGCTTTGTTCAAACAACCTTTTTTGGATTTATGCTATCCTTGATTACAGACATCCATAGAGTAAAGTAGATCTTGAACCGTTAATTTCTACGGTCTGTGTGTTATTTTAACAGTGGCTAAAATAAGCAACCTAGGTACTAGTCCGGTTGTAGTTATTTTGAGCATGAAAGAGAACGGTTGATTTCACGTCCACCAACATTCTTACAGTGAGACAATGAGCTTTCGTGTACGCTGGTGAACAATTTTTTATTCATTAGTAACCCTGAAAAAAAATTTTCCTTTGTCATGCTTGGCAATCTTGTGCATTGACATTACTGTTGATTAAAGCCTGTTATAATGCATCCTAATTTTGTAAAAGCAAACAATGCGTTTATGTGTACACAAGGATCGTGCAGTTACGAACTAAGAGAACAATCATGAAAACACTTAGCAATTCTACCTTACCTACTACCCACTACTCAATGTTCCAATCCCTCAAGAGAATTAGTTTAGTATCATTGTTTTCAACTGTTAATGCAATAATGGTCAATATCTAATCATGAAAAAAGGTTGCACGCTGCTCCATACGCTCGCACGTTATGGATTAGCGTGTAGGCAACAACAATTTCCTGAGAAATTTTCTTCGATCTATTTTTTCTTGCGGGGTCAATGAACGACCTTTCATCGGTTTGTTATTCAATTGGGCCATTTTTCCAACCGCAAGAATATTTTAGATCGATCTACTACACTTGTGCACGTTGTGGACTCACTAGCCAACATGGATGGGACTACAGGACACTGAGAGCAGGATAACGCCTTGGTTACTGTATTGGAAAAGTCTTTTCAGCAATTTTTTTCATTTGCATGATCAGCTAATGAATCACTCAGTTCTCAATATGTGCGTCAAGATGAAATGTACAGTATAATGATTCGCTATTCCAGTTACAATGAGTCCCGGTGTGACGATGATATGGTTCTGCTACAACCATATCATCAGTATACTTTACATAAATGGTCATTGGACCTTATGCTATTTCTTTTGCAATTGCTATCTATTCAGCAGTGCAGCAATATTATTTTCGTATCAGATATTGCAGGAAAAGTAGAAATGAAATTGATTGCTATCTATACAACCATTTCTATACATACAGTTCACTCCAAGATTATGCTTAAGATGAAGTAGCCTCCATTTATTTTTTTGATGAGATTGATTACGATTACCCGTAGCTAATTACAGTGAATAAATTAAAAGCCCTGACGATAGAAAGCCAATAGTCGGAGACTTCTACTCTAGTACGTAAGGACAATGATAGTTTTTCTATCATTGTCGGTTAGAGGTCAGTGACAAGGGCATCCTCATGCTTAATTGAATATGTCTCATATGGGATTGTACTATATGTCAGCAGCTGCACGGATTAATAGAAGACCTTCTGGTAGTCTGTAGCAGCTCTTGCATGGCCTGGTCTAAATGCACAAATAATAATGAATCATATTGCAGCCCACTTCAATACCTATGTTGTCATTAAAATTCTTGCTAGGTTTGCGTTCGTCAAGATTACGTAAAGGAATTCTATTATATCGATCGTTAGCGACTAAGTAGTCTACACTATTATTATTGTCGAAGATAAATCTACCGATAAACTGTGTATGATTATTTTGGGTGGAAGTCAAAAATTGAACAAGTTTCCTATGATCTCTGCGATGACGGATAAATTCTTGATTTTGGGACTCATAAATTGCAAAATAGAGGAGCAGATAAATATAATACTACAGTACGACAACATGCCATTACAATCGCAGACAAAGTTGCCAGCTTTAGACTGCCAAAGTTACATATCAGGAGACTAAAATAGAGAGGGGCAAGAAGCAAATAGAGATTTTCTCCGTTTGGGGACAACTAAAAGGAAAAGAGAGAATTTAGTAAATAGGCAATATAATCTGACACAGTAACACCAATCTTAAAATGATACTACATGATACAGTATCGTACATTCTGGTCTTACTAGTAATTTACATCTATACTCTTGTTATTATTTTTACCGTGGAAGAATTATAGGAACTGTAGCGATAATTATAATCAGTACTGAATAGTTCAGTAAGTAAATACTGTATTGGATTTTCAATTTAGGTTCTCAGTATACTTTCTTAATCCATCGACACCAATTAAAGTCTACTATTATAATGTATATCATTAGAGATATTACAACTCGTTTGAAAATATCAACTTTACAAACCATATCCTAGAGAATAGTTGAATTTACCATAGCAAGACTACTACTACGATTGACGCTTAGAACCAAAAGATAAATTACTATACTATAAATCACAATCATACCGTTACGACTTATAAGTTGGCTTGGATATCTGTTGATAACTAACTAATATCACTGTTTTTTATCTTTTCAGTTTCAGCAACAGTTTTATCAAGTATAACTATAGAACGTTTCCATTTATTTGAAATATGCAAGTGTTGCGAGCGTCTTCCGTCGCCCTTCCATTCTCTTATCGCCTTTCTGGAGGTTAGACTAGATTATTTTGCCATCAAACAAATCCTTTTATGGTTTTCCATCTGTTATTAGTAATATTTACCTCTTGCTTCTGATAATATTTTTCCGCATACTGTAGTTGGTGATGGATATAACAATATATTTATTTTATTATTAAAAGAATATTATGTTAGTGTACTTACTCTACTTAGTTAGTTTACCATAATAATTTCGCGTACTATACTGTATGTGCACAGTACTCACGCTTTATACTTTACTTATTAACGATGACATTAGAAATATCCAACAAGCTTTTCAATGCTCACCCTCAATAACACATAGAATGATGCTCAATTTGCAGGCAAAATCAACAGGCTCACGCCATCGATATGGAGTGCTTACAGTCTTAGATCTGCAGCCACGTCCGCTGAGTATCCCGGCTCTTTGTCTGGCGTCAACTTTTTCGTTGATCAAAGTCGCAGGGCCAATGTACCCAATACTGGCCATCTTGCTGGTGCCTTAAGTTCTCGTTTTATGAATGAGACTTTTGGACTATTTAAAGATGGTACCAAACCTCTCTTAAAATCAGTGAAAATGACGATTGATCCCAATTTTTATAATTTTCACTATGGTTTACTTGGTAACGCAATGGTTAAGCTGACAAATTTCAACAAGAATGCCTTCAAGACCTTATGTGAAATGACTCTTGGCGATGATAAAAGCTTGCTATGTAAAGTTGAAGCCACGACTGAAGTTACTCAAGATCATAAACTGCACGCAATATCGGATGATGTAACTGAGGAATTGCGTAACTCTCAAATTCGTGATGACCTTAAACATAGCTTGATAAATCTAGAAAAATTAGGTTTGCCATCCGAACCATGTATGATATCATCCGTGGAGGTACGACCTAGCGACTTGGATGAAAATCGAAACGTAAATTGGGCTCAGATGTTAAGTTACTGCCAACACGGCATTCGTAGTGCTATATCGTCAAAAAAATTTCAGGTAGCTACACGAATGAGTTCTTTAGCTCAAATTAAAGAGTTACACCTAGATGTTACCGGAAAAGTTTCTGTAGGCGATACCGTTGATATTTCTGTTTATGAGAATATAGAACTTAATCGTATTCTATGTATTGGTAAATGTGGAGAAGAGATTGTGTGCAAAGGATATCTAGACTTAGATCGTGAAATTGCTGGCGAATTGCCACAGTGGCGATTACCGATGCACACAGAATCAGATGTCTGTGTCCATACTGACGTTCCTTCAGTGGGCTTCCATCGCGATCGCTTTAACAATGTAATTCTTGAGTATGTAAAGGAGGCAATTTCCAATTCACGATTTAACTGTTATCTTGCTCAAGGCTACTTGAAAGGTCATCTTCTTGAAGATGCTATACAAGTTATTTTTACTCATCGGATA